TTTAGATCAAGATGTCTTTAATTCTCCTCAGTTCAACATCTCTACATCGTCCTTTCTAGACATCTTAAATTGAATTTATTAGCATGTCGTTGTAGAGATCTTAAACTAGAATTCTGTGTAATTAAAATGTAATTACAGTTATCCAGACGCAAAGTTTTGACGAGGCAGTAACTTTCTGTTCAAACCGAAGCTCTGCTAGATGTTGACCATGAGTGTCTAAGAAGTGTCTCCTTCCTGTTTAACAGTATTTTCTATCTAACGTATCCACTGCAGCCGCCGTTACTTCTGCTAATAGTGTTTAAAGGTTTTTCTGGAACAATATCTGTAGGAAGCCTCATTCACACCAGTCACAAGGATATTTATACAAGTGTTGTTTTGATTATTAGTCCAGACAGGACTACAGACATCTCTAAGTGTCAGAATGACGTCACAGCTGTCTGGAGTAAAACTTCTGATTTGTCAAAATGACGTCGATATCTGTGATGTTAATTCAGAACCCAGATCATAACACACTCATGAGCACTACAGATAAAGTAAACCAGTTTTCTCAAATTCTGAGCTCATCATGAACAAACATGGAACATGAAAACAATCATGATTCTGTCTGTGATTTCAGATTGTCTTGCTGTTCATCAAGAACTACAAGTTGTCATGTTTCCTCTTGTAGTGTGTGTAATTATACTGCAGTAAACGTATCCACAGTTACTCTTTAAAATAAACAACAAAACCTCAGAGTTTGTATCAGCAAAGGATGGATTCACCTCTGATATGGACGAGTTTAGTTATATAACAGCAAAAAAACAGGGAAAAAACACATATTTATGTCGCACAAACATTTTTTCCGTCTGTCCTTCCTCATTAATCGTCCAACAGCCGCTCAGATTTACCCTCTCAGCTGCTGGACTAAACTAATATATTACAGCTGCATGATATTGGGGAAAAATACATTAAAATATTTATTTTTTTTTACAACATTTGAAGAAATATTACTTTTTTTCACCAGATGACTTGTATTTGGAAAGAATGAATCATTCTGGGGTGATTTTGCAGACGAGTGAATCTGCATCGAAACTAAAAAAACAACTTTTAAAAAGCTGAAAGAGCCATTTGGAGCCTTTTTAATGTGGTGTAACTCTGGTAAAGGCATCCAACAGTTTTTTTTTTTTGTGCTTTGGATCACATTCAGATCTGGCTTTACACTCATCCTACAGAGACGCACATTTAAATGGTCAAACAGATTAGTGACGCTTCCTCGTGTGGTTTCACTCGTTTCTGTTCAACATCATCGTTTCTGTAGCGGAAATATTTGACACTCTGTTTCTGTTTGCAACCAAATCTTGTTTTTTTTTAATGCTTCTCTTCTGGTTGTCGCTCATTCCGCTGTGCAGCGTGCATGTCAACAAACTGTCTTTTGAAATTCAGAAAATCAGAGTGAGTTATGATTAATCAGAAATGAGAATCGTGACAGTTGTCTTGGGCTGCGAGGTGGCTCGGTGGTTAGCCGGTTCGTGTCCTGGTGAGGACACCCGGGATCTTTCTATGTGGAGTTTGCATGTTCTCCCCGTGCAGCGTGGGTTCTCTCTGAGTTCTCCGGCTTCCTCCCACAGTCCAAAAACATGCTGAGGTTAATTGGTGATTCTAAATTGTCCGTAGGTGTGAATGTGAGTGTGCTTGGTTGTCTGTCTCTAAGTGTAGCCCTGTGATAGACTGGTGACCTGTCCAGGTGAACCTGCCTTCACCCTGAGTCAGCTGGGATAGACTCCAGCCCCCCATGACCCTAATGAGGATTAAGTGGTGTATAGATAATGGATGGATGGATGGATGTTGTCTTTTTGTGGCAAGCAGCTAAAGGACTTGTAGCATGATGCGTTTGAGTTCATCTGTCTTTCCAATACAAATAACACTGAATACCAAAATTGTACGGTGTGCAGTCATTCAATAGACGATATAAAGTCGTTAACACGGCACCAAGATGATGATTTTGATGCTTTTTTAACTTATTTTTTTGCTGTTTCTCAAAACTGTCTCATGCTGCATCAGAGACGTTCAGACATTTCAGTGCAGGCGTTCACTTTGTTGTTTTTAGGGGCGACTTGTTACAGTTTTCCGTGTCCGTCACTCAGAAACACAACACGGATCAGTCGACCAAATATCCACACTCTCACATTTTTTTCCCGGCGACTGCTCGGCGTCCTTGTCTGCCCTCTCGCTGTAAAACTTACACCGCCGTCATATCGGCGCAAACACTGTTGATTGCTCGATCAACACAAAAGTCCAGTGATATTAAAAGCTCTTTGTGGATCCGGCTCTCTTTCAATATTTACAACATTTGGTTTCATATTAGCCAGGAGGGTATGTTCCTCTCGCACACTTTCAGTCAACACTGTGTGTGTTTCAGGCTGCAGCAGTTGGACCGTCACTGTCAGAGCAGCGCCCAGCAGGTGTGTGAGCTGCTGGTCAAACAGAACCAGCTGATGCAGGAGAGAAACACACTCAGCGAGGAGATGCAGAACCTACGCATCGAGGTACAAACACACACACACACACACACACACAGCGACGTGACTCACTGCTCTGCTACTAAATGAATCTGCGGTCGCGTCTTTTCTCGCCAGGAGCACGTTATAGTTGTCAGTTTACTAAAATAAAACCAGCGAGGAGACATTTGTCCCTCGGTGACTAATGATTCTGTCTGGTTCTGGGTTTTTAGCTGCAAAACATGTTGTCTATATTCTGCCGTGATTCACAATCGGAGGCTGTGTGTCGGACGTACAGTGTTCACTGAGCGGTGTGTGTGTTTGTCTTTCCTAGCTGCCCAACGCTTTGCCCACATGAGCGAGTCTGTCCGGACTGCTGGCTCTTCTTCATCCTCTGGATCTGGACGTTGCTACTCAGGAATATTTTGTTACACAGAACCAAAGTGTTCAAGGAGACGAGAACGTTTTTATGTCTGTTTTTGTTCAACAATTTTAGAAATCAAGGAGACTGATTTGGAACTGAAAGTAAAAATGAAAATCTTGGTGTCAAAATCTAGAATAACTTCAACTCCAAGTTTTCAGCATTTATCCTTCAGTGCTGATTGGCTGTTACTCGTAACCAACCAGATTACAGATGAAGAGATTCGGCTGCATCAGAGCCAAAGGAGATCATTTTGACTTTATCAGGATTTAGCTTAAAAAATGACAATGCAGACAGCTGGTTAAATGCTGTAAGTCAGATCTGGTAATGTGTCTGTAAAGATTCTCAGTCATCCAGGTCACGGTTATTCTGGTAGATTCATCGTAGCAACTGGACTTGCTTAAGACATTCCACCTCTCATCCAAGAGGCTTCGTCAGTGACTAGTTGGGAATTCCAGATACTTATATCCTAAAGTAGCCATTAATACCTGAGTTTTGGTTTCAATTGGGGGTTTGATGCTCCTCCCCCTCGTTATGTGGGTCGTTAGTGCTCCCCCTGCCACAGAGGGGTTCGTTAGGGGTCTTTTGTGTGGAGATGTGGATGTCGATTCATCACCGAACTCAGGTGTTAATGACTCCTTAAGGATATAAGTATCTGGAACTCCCAACTAGTCACTGATGAAGCCTCTTGGATGAGAGGTGGAACGTCTTCAAGCGAGGCCAGTTGCTACGATTAATCTACCAGAACAGACCTGATAACCGACCAGGTTGTTGTTCACTTGACCACTATGTTTTAATGTTTTGTGTTTGTGTTGTACATCCTACATGTGTCATGTGTTACATTGGCTGGTGTGTTGAGCCGGTAGAGGTACTAGGACGCTGTGTCCGGCTGTTTTTATACATTTAAAAAAAAAAACTTCCTGTTTTTTTAACATTAGTAAATACAACCTGTGGTGCTCTGATACGAACTTTTGGAAAAAAATGACTTTAATTCATTTTTCTACAGATTTTTAAGCAGTTTAAATTTGTATAGTCTTTTTTCAGAACAAATTTTTTTTTTCGCTTTTTGAACGATTTTATTTTTTTAGTCGACATAAAACACATGAATCGAACCACAGACGGTGCGCTCATGTAACCCTGAGCTTCACCTTATTTCATGTGTTTTTATGGAAAAAAAACCTGAAGCCTGAACTCTGAAGAATATTTCTGGCTTCTTGTTTCATTTCTAACCTTTGAACCGAGCCGAGAGTTCAGACGGTTCTGAAGCGAACAGAGAGCCGAGGCCGTGGCAGCAGATTGACATAGTGCTTTATTGAAGCCGTCTGTAAGAAGGAAAATAATGTGCATCCCTATCATATACATTTTATGTGTAAAAATACTAAGGATGTACAGTGTAAAAAAACAGCTTCATGTTGATGGTAATTTGTTGTTTTCACATCCTCGCGGCCTCACTGGCCAGCAGCACTGCATCCTGACAGCATGAAGACAGAAAAAGGCTGTTTGATCTGCTTTTCTGTGAATCTTTCTGGATCCGCTGAGTTTCCCGACACTGTCTCAGAGTCAACATGGTCTCTGCTCCTCTGACACGTCAGAGAGCAGAGCGGACTTCAGGGAAACATGTCTCTCACAACTGTAGAGCTACAGTAGACGGACATGGCATTAAAACCCAGTTATACTTTGTAATATTTGTACATGTTTGCTGTTTTTTGTTGTTTTTTTTGTTTGCTGTTTATAAATAAATGCATCTCATGCTTGTTTATGTTAATAATCATGATGATAGTAGACTAGTACCATAGAGAGAAGAGAGGGGAGGGAATCTGCCGCAGACATGAGGTCAAATACTTTCAGAAATCCTTCCAAACACTCGAGCCGATCACTTAATATCTGCATTAAACGCCAGGCGGAGTGCCGCGTGTGATTTTTGGCTGAAGTCGTCGGTTCATTAACAACGGACGAGATCAATACGGAGCAGCTGAGGTCTTTGAAAGAATTTTTACATGTTACTGAAACACTATTGGAGTCAGATCTGTTGTGTGATAGATGTACAGTACAAACAGCAGCAGCTTTAGGAGTGGACGCCGTCGGAGCAGCGTCGGAGATCTCGCATACCGGCGAGTATGTTCAGGGCACCAGTAAAGCTGTGAGGACGCCCAAACTGAATCTCTGCATCCAGTTTAGGAACCTCTGTTTGGTGAGACACATGTTCACAACTGATTCTTTAAGCTAAAACCCACACTGATGAAGAGGATTACTAAGCTTCACCTTCTCCACTCGGAGAACACTTTGTTTTTTTTTTTATGATCTCTGACCCTAAACTCGCCCTTTTGACATTGTTGCTGCCACTACATGAACACGGATCTGTCGAGGACTGGACGAGGAGAGCTCACTGGAGGGAAAACTTTTCAAATCAAGGGACGAATCGGAGGACGACGACGGATCAGTGGGTTCCTACAAACGTTTTAGTTTAGAAACACTGACCAACTTGCTAAAAATTCCAGTGAGAACTCTGCATGTGGGACACTTCATCCAGGTTTTTGCCAACTCTGGACATCAGAGCGACATCAAAACTAGCGCTTGTACATGGAGGGGAGATGTGCTTTAAAAAATCCACGTTTTCTTAAAAACATAAAAAAAAAAAAAAAAAGAAAGCTAAAAATCTTCCTTTAAAGCAGGGCTGAATCAGATTCCTCTGAATCATATAAAAAGTGATGGGTGTGAAAGTGCTGTGGCCAAAGCTACAAAGCGGTACTTCATGAACTCTGGTTTCTAATGATTTTGGCGTTAAGCGTGCACATACAGCTAGAACTCCTCAGTCGCTCGCAGACCTGGGTCAAATCAAAGCTGAAATCCTTCCAAATACTTGGGAGCGTTTGCTTGAGCCTGTCGAGGGTGCCAGCTGGGTGGGATTTGTACTCATTTTGAACTATTCGGCTGCTTAAGCGCTGCCAGACAGGCTCAATCGATCACAGAGAAGTATTTTTCATAAGAGTTCTGAGTGCCACTTTGACTCAGGACTGGTGGTGCGGACAGAGGGGGACTACAGCATGCAGGCCAGCGCCATCCTTTTATACTTTCTGCCATAAAGCGCCTTTGCTAGCTAGTAGCGGTTTAATGGATGTGCAACAGTAAAGCATATGGACTTAAGAGCAGCGGGAAAACAGGTAATGTGTCGTATAAGAGATATCTGTAAAGAAAAAAAAAAAAAAAAAGGAGGCTTTTTATTTTTAGAACAAAGTGTTGAAACACGACTACTGCCCCCTTACTGCTAAACGCCCAAAACAAAATGACATCAAATAAATTAAATAGAAAATAAATTCAAGTTATCCATCAATGATAATCATAAAAACATTCAAATAAATATACTGGAGTACAATTTGCTATGCCTAATAAGAGCACATCCCCTGGTACTCTCTTTAGTCTGTCAGCCAGATACTGAAGGTGACGTCTTCCACACGATGAACATGTTTTTGTTAAATGCAGTTGAGATTGCAAATTTTTAAAAATATATTACCTCACATCTGGTGATTTTTTTTTTTTTTTTTTTTCCGTTTTTGACTCAGAAGTGCTGGATGTCATTTTTGACTTATTCTGAGCTAAACCGTAAGGCGTACCCGGCGTTTGAAGACAGAGAAATTGAGGGGATTTTAAATCTTGTTGGCTAGACTGGAAGACATGACGATGCAACGACCGCAAACAAACAAAGTCCTGACAGGAGAAGACGGCAGCGCGCGTTAAAGACAGCTGAGGGGTGGTTTTAGCGGTCGAGACCCGATTCTGACGTGGAGGGAAAAATTTATTCTCTCATCTAAACATCTGAAGGACCGACAGGAAAACAATGACTGACCTTTTCTCACCTGAACACTCTTTGGCCTCTTTGCTCGACAACACTTACGGTTAACGGTAGCACTTACAGCTCCAGTTTTGAATCTCTTCCTTCCTCAACGCCTCACATTCAGACTTTTGTGGCTGTTTTCTTTCTGCTCAACTTCCACTTCACCTTCCTCTCTGAACTCTGCCATCACCAACACACACACCTGTGATCAGATTAAACAGGAGGAACATTTGTGTCAGTAGCCAATCAGAGGGGAGAACTACGAAGCAAGTTTGACTTAGCCAGGCTTTATGTAACCAGGTTTTCTTCATCAGGCTCAGTGCACAATCCCAGAAAAAGGGACATTACGTGACATTTCTTTTAAATGCATGCTGCCTTGTGCAGTCAAGACAAACAGGTTGTTATTTAGTAAATTACAGGAAAAAGTGCTGATATCGTTGCAAGAGAGGAATGTCAGAATATAGTTAATTGTGTAAATTAATCTAATTCTTTCACCACTCGGTGCAGCTGCTTATTTCTAAATTGACAGCTGCACATTAGAGCTCTGAAACTTTAAACTTCATTCAGTTATTATTTAGGAGGTGCATTTACACTGCTCCACAATAAAGAATATGTGGAAACTACTTTAGTTTTTGCACGAATCAAAGCAGAATTATGTTCTAGATTGAATATTCTCTGTGATAGATACAGTAGACTGATGGCTTTTCTAATCTGTGTTCTACTAGCTGCAATACCATCAATGTAAAATAGTGTTGGCGGCTAATTAGGAAGAAGCATATAAAGATGTTAATGCATGAGGACAACACAACACAGTTTGTGCGACTGTAACTGCATTTAGAATGACTAACATACGGCTCAACAGGTTTGCCAGTATAATGTGTTCCCTCAGAATCTATATCGCTCATTGAGAATACGGAAAAGGGAGACGTCTCTAACTGTGCAGCATCTGTTACCATGGTGATCTAGCAGGTTGACGTTACATGACTTTAAAAAACCCCGACTTTAAGCTCAACACAACTCACAAATCCATCAACCTTGCTTCGTAGCACGGCCCTCAGGAAAGCTACGTCTTCACACTAAACACCTGTAGACACACGATAGTTTAGATAAATACCACCGTCCTGGGTCTCTGACTGTCGCCGTCTGTCTTTAACGCGTCCCG